ACTGTACAATTTCTGGAAATAAACTGATCTCCACCTGATTTAAATAAACCAGCGTCACCTTTCTCTCGCTCCCTGAACTGCGGAGCAACATCATGCGTGTTTAATAACCCCAGAGAGAGGTAGGAAACTGGTTTATTTCCAGAAATGGCATCTGATTTACTAGGAACCACATTAAGCTCAGCCAGTGATGTAAAACTAGCTACTTCCCACCAGAGTTTCCTTCCATGCTGGTCGTAACTTTAGCTTCTGTCCGGAAGCATCAAAAACACGGCATTCGTTAAAATGTATGCCATGTTGTGTGCGCAGGTGTTTCTGCATGTTGAATGGATTTCCTCCTGCGGATGTTATTGCCACTTTACATCCAAACTGTCGATCGGTTTACCCGATAGGACGCCATTTTTTTTGTTGCTTTTTTAGACTTCTGCAGGGCGTAACTTGTGCAAAAACTGTGCCGTAACTAGAAAATGTGACATAAGTCATGCTGCTCAGCGCCCTAGGCTCTATTGCTGCCTGGAATCGTTAGAACTGTGAAGCGAGCTGCCAAACGGTGCCATGGAATTGGAACACACGGAACCGGTTCTGAACAGGAACCGGTTTCCGATTCCCATCCCTTCTAAGCTTAGCTGATTGCTCCTTCCTGTGTTTCCAAAAAGGCCAAAGTAAATAACCCAGTCCTCTGCGATCCATCTTTTTCCTCGATGGTATGTTACTCTCAACATACCATCGCTTTCCTTTATGCTCCATGGCGTTCCTCTGCGCTCCATCTTGTTCCTCTATCCTCCATGGCGTTCCTCTGCGCTCCATGGCGTTCCTTTATGCTCCATCTGTTCTCTTGCAGGCGTGCAGCGGCGGCCCATGTCGTCAGTCCCTGGCGGTTCCGGGGAGAACATCCTGTACACCGTGCTGTGTGGCGGAGCGCTGGTCGGCGCGCTGTCCTACGTAAGTCACCTCAGCCTTTCAGCTTATTCGCCTCATCTATGTGGGCGGGGCTTCAGACTAGGAGCAGAGCTAACGGTCCCACTGTCATGTTCTTCTGTTCTACAGGGATATGTGACCGTCACCTCGGACCATGCCAGGTTCAACGAGCGCATCAGTGAAATCAGAGCCCGGCCAAAGACGGACTGGACCCCTAAACCCTGGCCGCCTAAAGGCAAGTCCTGCCCCCCCTTTGGACGGAGACGTCCTCACTTCCTGTTTGAGTCCAACACTCAGATCAGATCTCAGATCAGTGATAATAATGGTAACAGGCCGATCCTCTAAACGGCATCATAACGTTGTTTAAACCAAAGAAAATCCATAAAAAGTTCTGACTAAATGAAACTATTAATAGGAAGTGTAGGAAGGCTGGACCGCTGCTGGAGCTGAGGCAGCCATCTTGGATCCTGGGTCTGCCCAGTTTTCCCCTGTCTGCTACTAGCCGGGTCAGCAGGTTTCTATCTGAATAGAGCCTGATTTGGACCCTGAAGTCAGGCGAGTCGCTCCCACTCTCGGGGCTCCAGCTGAGTTCTAATACCAGTGAGCAAACTGGGAATCAGAGGGACTGACCTCCAGAAACCAGTCCAGCTGCCAGCAGCTCCACTCTACCCCCACCAGACTGATTTTCACAGAGGAATTCTTCCTTGTTAATCCAGATTGAACCATTTTAATCCACCTTTTCTACCCGGCAGACAAACTGACCACAGCGCCAGTTAAACCCCCACAATCCTTTGCTGCATGATGCTGTGTTCCCTCCTCCTGCTTATTCTGGAAAAGACGTTTCTCGGTTCCACTAATCTTATTTAATTTATCAGATTAAACTGATCAAATAGTCCAGTTCTTTTCTAAAACCTGAAGAACTGACCTGTTTAACCTCGTTGGTTTTGTCTGTCACCATGACAACCGCCTCCTTCCACATGGGCTGCTGAGGTTGATGTCTGGCTGGACCAAACCGGACCGGGCAGGAAATTAGACAGAACTACTGAAGTAAATCCAGCATTTATTGTCTGAAGCTCCCAGCTGGACTCGGCTGGAGCGCCGCGTAGATCTAGGTCCCAATTTCTAGGTTACAGGAGTTGTGATGAGTCACTGCAGCTCCAGATGTTCAGCTTCTCTTCTGCTGCTCCGACTAACTTCTCCTCTGTTTGTTTGTCTGCAGGAAAAGATGAAGATGAAGGTGAGTTTGCTCCGCCCTCTGACTCAGTGTGAGCCTGGATGGAAACACTCTCACCCCCCCCTGCTGTGAGCACTAATAAGCTGAGCCGACCTTCACGCTGTAGCTCTGCGTCCAGCAGGAGGACACGTCCTTATCCTGGCTCCTCTGCAGGGCCACCGTCCCTCAGCTGCTTCCATCATGGAAAAACTAAGTCCGTTTCCTCAAATCAGTGGTTTAAATCTGCCAATAGAAGGAGGCTTCTGCCCTGAAAATAGATAAGTCAATATTCTGCAGATAATCTGTTGGTAAATAATCTTAGTAATCTGCTGAATTCAAGTGGAAATTCCCTCATTTTAAGCCAGTTTAATGGAAATATAGTTCCGTGTTTTGGCTCCTCCTCCCCGGGCCTCTGCAGATGTTCTGGTCCGGGTGGACCTGGAGGCTGCAGACCTGATGGCGATGCCGCTGTCTGTACTTCCTGTCCGGGCCGTCCCGGCGCCGCTGATGGCGATGATCCTGATGTTTGGACCAGGGGTGTAAATCACATCCATCATGGCGATTCGATTCAGTATCAATTTCCTGACCCAACGATTTGATTATTTTCGATACTCAAGAATACACCACGATATGATACCATTCGATTTGATTAATCGGTTAATTTTTTATTTATTTATTTTTTTTACACCTTACAGGCTAAACAAAGATTCAAGTTTGAAATAAATAAATGAAAGCTGTAATATCGTTATTTTTTTTTTTTTTTTAGAAAAAACTGCAAATAACAGAAGTAGAAAAGTTGCATCAAAAAATACGGAAAAAAAACAGTGCAATGAGTGCAATGCAATACCTCGGCTCCAGATGTCCCCCCCCTCCACAGACGCTCCGCTGCTCCTCTCCCAGATTGTAGCTGACTGCAGACAGCGCCACAGACAGGAGGCCGGCTTGTTTTGTTTTTATGACTGAAATTGCGGAAAACAACTCGTGAAGTTTGACCCGCTAGAAGAGCGGGGTGAGCTAGAACGCTGGGACCCTTTTTCCACCTGGATCTCCGCTTTTTTTGGCCCTCATGTCCCTCCGTCGTCAGACTAAACTCGCCCCTACTTCCTCGCCGCCTCGGCCGTATCTAGACCTACAGTGTGTAGATCAGACCACGCTTCAATACTGAGCATGATTTAAAAATGTCTGTGTCAAGCTCACTGCAACACACTGCTGTAAGAGTATAACCAGGAAGCGAGGTAAAAACATGAATCGATTCTCTTGCGGACGTGTCGATGCATCAATCGTCGGCTGTTGGATCGATGCATCGATACAAAACGATTATTATTTTCACCCCTAGTTTGGACCGCCTCTCTGATCTGATGCCCATTAATAACATCATCAGATCCAGTTGAGCAGAATCTCCCTGAGCGGCGATCGGGTCGGCCCAGAACAGCTCTGACCCAGAAAGGTCTTGGATGCAGAAGTTAATGTGATGATCAGAACCATCAGCTGACCCCCCATGCTACCGTGTGTTTGGACCTCCAGAACTAACCCGTGTTGCTGAAGCAGACGCTGCTCCTTCCTCCTCTCTAACTCTCTGTATCTTTACTCTTTCAGCCTAAGCTTAAAGCTCAGGTCCTCTGAGGAGAACCGGCTAGAACTGGATGTGAACAGGGAAACCAATCCCTCTCTTCCTCCTCCTCCTCTTCCTCCTCTTTCCTCCTGTCCTTGGGGGCCAGTCTCTGAAGGATGTGGGTGTGGAGCTGCATGTCCTGCTGCTGTAGCTGTCCTCTGCTAGCTGCTGTCCTCCCTGGGGGGGTTCAGCCTGTTGTGTCTCAGCTGTGTGTACTCTGTGATTCTAATAAAGACCCTCCACATTCCTCACTGTCAGACCTGCTTTCACTGAAAACCCCCTAACCTGTTAACCTGATGGTAAGAACCAACTCTCCACTTCACCCTCTTTCTCCCCCCCCACCTGGTCCTCCCTCCCCTCTCCTCCCTGTCTTTCAGTTTGCATGCGGTTTGTTCAGTGCATGTCTCTGATCTAGAGGTGAGGTGGGTCTTAAAGCAGGGGAAGGTTTTAATATCTTATTTTTAGACATTTTGACTCATTTTTTGATCCATTTTTGCAGGAAAAAGTTTAGACCGAAGGATGACGGATGCGATGGATTGTGACGTAAAAATGGTTGAACTTTAAACGAGTCAGAATCATTAGAGCCCTCATCAATAGTCTCTCCTGTCATTTAAAGGGGAACGCGTCATGTTCTACTCACCCATATGAGTTTTGTGTCATTTGTCATAAAAAAAAAGTAGACGGGAATCCAGCTACTCAGACCCCTGCTATTCAGGGCCCCATGAAAGACATTGATATTGTCCCCCCACCCCCCCGCAACCAAAAGATTGTATGCAAGGTTAAAAACTGCTATAAAAATGCACCAAATAATTTACGATTGCAGTCTTTATTTTTATGTACAATTTCAACAAGGCTAATTTATTCTAGCACTAAAAATGTAAATATACAACTTTAAACTTTACATTAAAAATCATCCTCTTAAAATAATTACAGTGTATTTAAAACAGTACAACTTAGCTGTATGTGTGTAAACTTAGCTTCACTCAATATATTAATGCTTTGTTTTGCTGTTTACTGCTGAAAAATCCCAAAGAAAACAAAGATCATTTCCTTCACTGCTGGAGTTTCCTTTTATATTTGAATATTTAGCAAACATATCATTTCTTCTTTCTTTGGGGCCTCCCTCAGTCGAGGGCCCTTAGAATATTCCTTTTCCTCCCCATACGGCGCCCCCGCTGCTATCAGAAATATGACTGCAGAATAACTAAGCAACGAAATTAACTCTCTGCATTTAACCCCTACCCTGTGGGGAGTAGTGGGCTGCCATTGTGCGGCGCCCGGGGAGCAGTACAGGGTTAAGGCTCTTTGCCCAGGGACCCAGAGTGGCAGGCCGAGGGAGTAGAACTCGAACTCAGAACCTCTGGTGGCCCTAATCCTCTTCCGTACGCTTTCCATCTAGGAAGCTTTCTCAATTCAAAATGTCAGACAGCATTGAGATCCAGGCTTTATACAGAGGACCAAAATCAAAGCCTTGTTTTGGTTTAGAAAACATGGAAGTTGAACCTGATGATCGGGCCTTTTCTGTGTTAACCTGTAATACCTAACGATGGATACCAGACGATGGAGGATTCAGTTTGGTCCAAAACCAATAACCAATAACCATAGCCTAATCCCATGAGTCTGCTTATGTTTTGCTCTTATTAGACTCTTCATAAACAGCGGTGTCTAAACATCAGTTTCTTTTCTTCCAGATGTAGAGGCTGAAGCTGAGGAAGAGGAGGCCGCTGCTGAGGCAGAGGCCGTAGTGGAGGAAGCAGCTGAGGCTGAGGCCGCTGAGGCGGTCGCTGAGGCCGACGCCGAGGTGACACAGGAAGCGGAGGCAGCTGCAGAGGAAGTGGCCGAGGCGGTGGAAGACGCCGTTCAGGCCGTGGCGGAACCCGCCGAGGCCGGCGCCGAGGAGACCCAAAGCGATGGTACGAGCTCTTAATCTGAGGAAGCCTGAGGTTCCTCTCATTCACTGCAGGGAGACGCACACGGCAGACCGCTTAGCATCCACACTCGACCAGCATCACAGGGAGCAAAGGGACCAGTCCCAGTTGGTAGAACCAGTAGAGGCTAGCCAACCGGCCTCACCTCCTAATGCACATCCTCTCTTGTTGTCCTTAAAGTGTATATTTGCTTTTTAATTTATTGGAGCGGGTGCTGCTGACGGGGATCTGTGGGGTGTGCAGTGTAGACCGCCGTGCATCTGATCTTCTGGTTCTTTCCTTTGTTTTTTTTGCTCCGTTAAAAAGCACAAACTCTCCGAGGTAAATCTGCACTTTCCTTCCCGGCCGTGAGCTCTCATGCAATGCTCATTTGCAGTTATGGGTGAAATAAATGTGATCACTCAACAAGCCTCACCATATGCCTCCAACTTTAACCCTCAGCAGCATATGGGCCCAAATTTCCAACGCCGTTAGCTGGTAAGGAAACACCTTTAGCCATTTTGTTCCAATGCTCTGAGTGGCGTTGGCTAAGATTTGACCAAACGCTGTTTTTCTTTGCTTTAAGCGTCTGTAAGCTGCTGTTCTGATATCACAGCATACATGTATGGATGTTTAGCTCTGGCTGTGATACACCTGTGTCTTCATGCAATGTTCCCACTCTGTAACAGTGTGTTCTTCTCTAATGTCACGACAAATGCTGTGAATCATTCATTCTAGGTTTACAAACCAATCCACATCAATAATGTGATCATATTTCTATTTTGCTTATAACTGGACAATGAGCACTGTGAACAGATATTATTTCATCAGGTCTACAATAAAGTCTTTGTTAAATGAAGATATTAACTGCCGTCTTTGATTTGTCTGATTGGGTGTTTTAATCCAGCTTAGTAATGAGACTCTCCAGTCTTCACACTTGAAGCCACAGCCTTAATCTTAAACTTGGTATCAGCGGCTGACATTCAATCAGAACCAACTCTACGGATACAACAATTGTCTCGTTTTACTTCCATCTCTCGGGTGTTTGGTCCATCTGGGTACAGAGGTCTGGTGCAAAAGTCTGCTTCACCCAGTCCTCCTGGCAAAGAGGTGTAACCCCAAAATCCCGCATCCTCCTTATCCGTTCCGCTCCAGACGCAAAGGAAACCTACAGCCTCCCGTCTCTGAGTTCCTTTGAGCTCCTCAATTCATAGCAGCAAATCATGAGGTAGGCCTAATAAACACTTAGTTTGATATGACATCATAAAAAAATCAGCATCTAACATACATGCAGTTTCTGCGCAAACATTATTTATTTGTTGTGGATTTTTGTAATAGAGGATAATTAGGATCATAAAACATTGGTTTATGCACTACTTCCAACCTCAGCATCTCTTCAGCCATCCATGAGTTTCTTTTGAAGTTGTGAGAAATGTTAGAAATAGCGTTGAGTTCCAGGTTTAATACAGTAGCCCAACAAAGCCTTGTTTTTGATTAGAAAACATGCAAATGAAAACTTTTTTAGTCTGCAATGCCCCATACCTGTCTATGTCTCTGAAAGGGGGTCGTTATAGGGAATTGTTGGCCTGGCTGAATTGGCAAGGTCTTCTTTTCTCCTATAAAGGGGCTGCAATAGTAGCGGTAAGGAATCAACTCTATCGCTGTAGATATTTTAAAGCTGAAAGATGTGGATGGTGATTTGCGGAGGGGAAGTGGTGAATGTGGAACAGTTCTCATTGATTAACATGACTGTACAAGTATTCCGCATGACGTACGTGAGCGGGCTGGAACGGACATTGAGGATGTGGAATCTGGGGATAAAGGTTTGATGTAAGCATTGACCCGTCAGTGAGGTCCGCCGAGGTGATCACTGTAGGTCATTTTAGAATCAGGCAACTGTTCCTACAAACCTAAGAAAGGTTTGTCACTATAAGGTTGGTTCCGCATGGAAAAACATGGCGGATGAGGAACAGCTCCTGGTGGAGGTTTTTTGCAAATATAAACATTTAGTCTGATGATTTGGCTCATAAATACCAGCGATGTCAGCGGATTAAAAGAAAAATCTTGGGAAATAGTTGCTGTCACTCTTGGATGACACCAAGAGGCAGAGAAAATATTCATCTGCTGTGTTTTCTACTTCTAAATGTGGTGTTTTAAGCTCAAGGTCTGTGTCCTACACTCAGAGAAGAAAATGCTACAGACTGCGGCCAAGTCCCAAATCAGCCCTCAAGCACTAACCTCATATCAGTCTATGATTGACGTTTGGGTGGTTCCTTGCCTTTCATCTCCAAACTGAAGTGAGGGACCCTGCATCAAATGCATGGTAGTAAACAGGAGGAGTAGTTGAAGACTTTTAAGGTTTTGGTAGGTTTTAGAGAACTTTAATATAATTTGATTTATTCCTTAAACAAACTTGTGTCCGAGTATTCCCAGGCCCTAGATGTCATAAACAGTTTGAACTAATCAATGAATGGTACATGTTGTTAACCTACCTACTGCATGTAGTTGCTATTCACTTCATGGGTCATTTTACAGATGATCAATATGCTACATCAACACATGTGCTAGATTTGGTGAATTTTTAGCTTGAGCAGTTGTGACGTTTAGATCGATGGATTTTGTGTTGCAGTGCCACTAGCAGCTGCCTCTGCATTAGAGTTACTGAAGAAAGATGAAGATGAGTTTACACCTGCTGATCAAGAGCCCCTATCTCAAGCAGTGGAGAAGCCTGTTGAAGAAATGGCCCTTGCTTCTGCAGAGGATCCTGTACCAGTGGAGGTTGCATCAGTTCTTGAGGAGTCACCTGCCCCCTCGGAGATCGCACCGGTCATAAAGGAGACCCCAGCATTAACATTGGTTGAGCCAGATGTGGAGGAGCCCTCTGCACCTGTAGAGGTTGTGTCAGTTGTCAAGGAGGTCCCTGAACCCATAGAGGTTGTGCCAGGTGCTGAGGAGGACCCAGCACCTGCAGAGGATGCACCAGTTACCAAGATGCCCCCCTTACCAGAAGAAGTTGTACCAGTTGCTGAGAAGGCATCTTCTCCAGAGGAAATTGTGCCATTTGCCATGGAAGTCCCTGGACCTGTAGAGGTTTCACCAATTGAAAAGGAGACTCCTTCAGCAGATGAGGTTGCCCCAGTTGTTGAGGAGGCTCCAGAACCTGAAGAGGTTGNTCATAAAAAAATCAGCATCTAACATACATGCAGTTTCTGCGCAAACATTATTTATTTGTTGTGGATTTTTGTAATAGAGGATAATTAGGATCATAAAACATTGGTTTATGCACTACTTCCAACCTCAGCATCTCTTCAGCCATCCATGAGTTTCTTTTGAAGTTGTGAGAAATGTTAGAAATAGCGTTGAGTTCCAGGTTTAATACAGTAGCCCAACAAAGCCTCGTTTTTAATTAGAAAACATGCAAATGAAAACTTTTTTAGTCTGCAATGCCCCATACCTGTCTATGTCTCTGAAAGGGGGTCGTTATAGGGAATTGTTGGCCTGGCTGAATTGGCAAGGTCTTCTTTTCTCCTATAAAGGGGCTGCAATAGTAGCGGTAAGGAATCAACTCTATCGCTGTAGATATTTTAAAGCTGAAAGATGTGGATGGTGATTTGCGGAGGGGAAGTGGTGAATGTGGAACAGTTCTCATTGATTAACATGACTGTACGAGTATTCCGCATGACGTACGTGAGCGGGCTGGAACGGACATTGAGGATGTGGAATCTGGGGATAAAGGTTTGATGTAAGCATTGACCCGTCAGTGAGGTCCGCCGAGGTGATCACTGTAGGTCATTTTAGAATCAGGCAACTGTTCCTACAAACCTAAGAAAGGTTTGTCACTATAAGGTTGGTTCCGCATGGAAAAACATGGCGGATGAGGAACAGCTCCTGGTGGAGGTTTTTTGCAAATATAAACATTTAGTCTGATGATTTGGCTCATAAATACCAGCGATGTCAGCGGATTAAAAGAAAAATCTTGGGAAATAGTTGCTGTCACTCTTGGATGACACCAAGAGGCAGAGAAAATATTAATCTGCTGTGTTTTCTACTTCTAAATGTGGTGTTTTAAGCTCAAGGTCTGTGTCCTACACTGCCCCCTAGAGTCACTCAGAGAAGAAAATGCTACAGACTGCAGCCAAGTCCCAAATCAGCCCCCAAGCATTAACCTCATATCAGTCTATGATTGACGTTTGGGTGGTTCCTTGCCTTTCATCTCCAAACTGAAGTGAGGGACCCTGCATCAAATGCATGGTAGTAAACAGGAGGAGTAGTTGAAGACTTTTAAGGTTTTGGTAGGTTTTAGAGAACTTTAATATAATTTGATTTATTCCTTAAACAAACTTGTGTCCGAGTATTCCCAGGCCCTAGAAGTCATAAACAGTTTGAACTAATCAATGAATGGTACATGTTGTTAACCTACCTACTGCATGTAGTTGCTATTCACTTCATGGGTCATTTTACAGATGATCAATATGCTACATCAACACATGTGCTAGATTTGGTGAATTTTTAGCTTGAGCAGTTGTGACGTTTAGATCGATGGATTTTGTGTTGCAGTGCCACTAGCAGCTGCCTCTGCATTAGAGTTACTGAAGAAAGATGAAGATGAGTTTACACCTGCTGACCAAGACCCCCTATCTCAAGCAGTGGAGAAGCCTGTTGAAGAAATGGCCCTTGCTTCTGCAGAGGATCCTGTACCAGTGGAGGTTGCATCAGTTCTTGAGGAGTCACCTGCCCCCTTGGAGATCGCACCGGTCATAAAGGAGACCCCAGCATTAACATTGGTTGAGCCAGATGTGGAGGAGCCCTCTGCACCTGTAGAGGTTGTGTCAGTTGTCAAGGAGGTCCCTGAACCCATAGAGGTTGTGCCAGGTGCTGAGGAGGACCCAGCACCTGCAGAGGATGCACCAGTTACCAAGATGCCCCCCTTACCAGAAGAAATTGTACCAGTTGCTGAGAACGCATCTTCTCCAGAGGAAATTGTGCCATTTGCCATGGAAGTCCCTGGACCTGTAGAGGTTTCACCAATTGAAAAGGAGACCCCTTCAGCAGATGAGGTTACCCCAGTTGTTGAGGAGGCTCCAGAACCTGAAGAGGTTGCGCCAGTCGTAGGAGAGGCCCCTTCACCAGAAGAGGTTGTGCCAGTTGTTGGGGAGGCCCCTTCACCAGAAGAGGTTGTGCCAGTTGTCGGGGAGGTCCGTGCACCAGAAGAGGTTGCACCAGAGGCCATTGAAGCCACTACACCTATAGAGAGTATACCAGCTGTTGAAGAGTCCTGTGCTCCAAAAGAAGTTGTGCCAGTTGTTGAGGTGCCCGCTGCACCAGAAGAGGTTGCACCAGTTGTCATCGAAGAAGATGCACACATAGAGGTTTCGCCTGTTATGGAGGAGGCCACTTCACCAGAAGAAGCTGTACCAGTTGTCAAGGAGGCCATTGCACCCATAGAGGTTCCATCAATTGTTGAGGAGGCCCTTGAACCAGAAGAAGTTCTGCCGGTTGTTGAGGTGGCCTCTTTATCTGTAGAGATTGCATCAATCGTTGAGGAGGCCCTTGACCCAGAAGATGTTGCACCTGTTGTCATGGAAGCCCCTGCATCTGTAGAGATACTGCCTGTTGTTGAGGAGGTTAATTCACCAGAAGAAGTTGGGTCAGGTGTCAAGGAGGCCTCTGCACCTGTCGAGGTGGCACCAGTTATGCAGGAGACCCCAACGTTTTTAGAAAGCACTGACAAAGAATACATCGTAGTTGTCCTTGAAGGAACACCTAAAGAAGAGAAAAGACCCAAGGTACTGGGAATTGGTCCCATGACTGGTAGAATCATCCTGGCTCCAGAAAATGAATCTGGACCCACCTCTGAGGTAAGTTACATGACATTTCAGATTCTAAGTAGCATTAAATGTAAAGATATAACAACAAAATTGCAATAGTTCAATATTTTCTTTTATGTTCTCCAACCCAATCTGTGATGTAAGTCAAATACTAGAAAATCTAATTCCTCAGATGTAAAAACATAACCATACAGTCAGGCACATTTTGAAAAAAAAAATCCAACAAAGTGGTTGGTGTCAAAAAACCATGAATGGTGGGGCTAACTGTTGTAATGAGCCGGGTGGTCAGGATGTTGGCCTTATTAAGCATTGGCAGTGAGGAGAAGGGATACTGGTTGTTACACTATACATAGATCTTCAGAGGTGGAGGATATTTCACCCTCTTTGTAGAGCCCATCGGGCCCGAGCTTGATCAGCTCCAGCCTCTCGCTTCAAAGCGTAGACTGAGCAATGCCCAAAGTTAAAGCTGCCAAGGTGTGAGGTGTGTGTCTGAGTGAGTTGCTTTTATACCCAGGCTATGGGTACTTGTGACAGGCATTTATCAATAGGACAGTTCTGCTGCAATGGCTACTGTTCAACCACTTTGGCAGCAATAAGGTTGCTTTAAGAAGGATATTGCAAAACTTAAATATCTCACATTAAAAATGTGAAGATACAATAACAATAAATTGGTATATTACCCCAAATTATACAATTTAAATGTAAAAAAGTACGTTTTGGAGTGAGTTGGGAAGCATACTGGGTTAGAAATCCTCCATGCCTTTAAAAAGATAAAACAGAGGCAGTATCTGTCTAAATGAAAACGATCTCTACAATACATCAAGCATAACAATTGTAGTTAGTTCCAGCTCCGTCTCTTCACAGCATTTCACTCATCAGCGTTTAGCCCTCAGGGCAGCACTAAGAAGATATTCGCAATGTTCCATTTAGTCGGCTGCATCCTCCGAGGACCTGGTCTACCTGGACTGGGACTGGGAGAGTTTGGCTATGGATTCAAACAGGTCCAGCCTTCTCTGGCTTTCACAGCCCGTACGTTGACTCAAAAAGCAGGCAAAAATGGATGCAGAATTTATCACTGCTGTCCTGGGTGCTAATTACGTTTCTGAGGAGCTTCAGCAGCAGTACAGTCGTCTCAAATATCAGATTTCTAGTCCCCACACTGCAGAGATGTTGGAATCTGAGCTTAAATGTCAGCCAAACACATTTACACAGGGACAGATAGAACCTTTCGATAATCAAACATTACCGCCACATATCTGACTCAATAACCATTAAAACAACTATTTTCCTTCATTTTAGACGGAACTATTCACAGACTTGGATTATATTAAACTGCACTTCCAATATTCACCAATGTGCGCCATTTCCCCCTTTTCCTCTGAGCGCGATAACGATGAGTCTTCCAATTAGAACAGGCCTCGGCACTGCGCTATGATGTAATTGGCCAACAGGTCTGGCCTTCGGAGGACGCAGCAGCCGAATACGCCATTTAATGCCGACAAAACTAAGCAAGTTTACAGGGAAATTGTAAAAAATTACACAGCAACATAAAGATGGCACCCTTAGGCCCAGTTTATAGTTATAGTTTAGTTTGTTATACATAAGATATAGAAAAAAAAAGAAAAATCTGGTGTGGCTTTAAACTTAAAAACTTTTTTTTTCTTTTTATATATATGTATATGTATACTATTTTCTAGAATCTAATCTTGGAGAAATCCGCTGTTCTTCGTGAACAGGGAGAATTCGGTTTTCTGTCTTGGATTCAGGGCCTCTATGTGATCTAAAAACACTAATAATATAACATGACTTTTTAAACTCTGCTATTCAGGGTAGGCGCCGTCACTCATGTAAATGTAGTAAAATCATCAAATGCATTGAGCCTGTGGATATATGAACGAACGTCGTCTCCTGAGTAAAACATGGATCTCCTCTCATGTCCATACTCGGACCCTTTCAGCCATGTGATGGAGCCAAAGATGGATGTTTTAGAAAGATTTGATGTTCTGTAAATCTGACATGTTGCTTTCATGTGTTGCAGTAAAGCTCTCCTAACTGATGGCCTCCAGTCCTGCAGTAGAAGACGGAGGATGTGCCTTTCTCCTTCACTTTATCCGTTAGCTTACATCACTTTAAGAGCCGCTGCTACGTTGAGCCCGTCACTCTGAAACACCACATGTATGAGAATTTTTTGTGTTTTATTTCTGAGAATTTCCAGGAACATTTCCTCACTCTGTTTACAGCTTTAGACTAAACTGAGCCTCTCCATCCTCCCTGATCCTTACTGTTACAGCTTACTTCTAAGAAATCACTCCAGAGGAGCGTGCCCACGTGGTGCATCTCCTCCAAACCCTGCCGCCTCAGTATTAGCTCTCCAAATGAGCGGCATTCTGTTACAATCACCTCCTTCTGGTTAAAGCTTGAATAACTGGAAACTCTGACATTATTTCCACTTGTTTTCTTCTACCTCACTTTTTTCCTCATGTATTTGATGTTAAAATCACCCCATCGCCCCGATGCACTCCATTCGATGTTAGCAGCCAAACCACTGACTCTTTAGAATCACTCTGAGCACATGGTTATAGAACCGTTAGATACAGGTTTACCTTTATTGTCACTTATCAATATTCAGTTTAAGCAAAGCTTCAAAAATGTTTTTGCCACAGGTTAAGTTAGAGAAGGGAAATATTACGGGATCGTTGTCTGCGACAATCAGCAACATTTCTATGGTAAACCTGCACGCTCTAGAAATGTAGCTCTTTGACTGTTGTCCTGATGCTAATACTCCTCTGGGAATGAGAAGGGAAAACAAAGCAGCATCTTGTGTGTTTTTGTCCTCTTTGTTTCTTTGCTTTCCTCCAGAACACCTGCTGTATGTTTGGTCTTAATGGTGATAATGGTGTTTCTGAAGGAAGGCCTCCAATGTGAACCAGCTTTGACGGCTCTGTTGCTCTCCTCTTCCTTTGTGAAATCCTTTCTTTAGCCCCAGGGATCACAGAAACCAAACTGTTAGACTCTGTGTTAATTAAGTCGGGTTTCTGTCTTAGGATCTTAGTAGTCGCCATTGAACAGCAGATACTGTGAAACGTTTCCCTTGTTTTACCAAATAAAGAACTTGAAAAGAGAATTTGTTTGTTGGTTGTTTGACTCTGGGACTCGATTATAATACCGGTCAGACACCAGATGGAGCTACGCTCCAAAGGACCTGGTGACCAAACCTTCTTTACAATTCTATTCAGTTTATTTCTATAGCACCAATTCCCAACAT